TATTTCTCCAAAATATCCTTATTTATGGGGGGAGAGAGTATAAGAAAGAAAATAAGAAAATTATCATAATAAAGAGAATTATAAAAGAGAGAATGTGTGATGGACAGAGTTGATGGTTTGGCAAATAAATATATTGAATATTAAAATAAGTAATTAATGGGGGCAAAATAGAAAATTTGCCACAAAAATTTAAGACAACTTGCAAATATTACTTATATTTAGAGATAAGAGGAGGATGGTAGTTGTTGCTTATAAAAAGAGATGGAGGGAGTAGTAGTTGGAAGAGGAGAGCTCTATACTCGTTAGAATGTATGAACCAATTACAAAAGCTAATTCAATCTATTGTAGTTATTGGTAAGCTAAGAATAACTCTTTCTATTATGCCCAATAAAATAGGCCAACTTTTTTGTATTTGAGCTCATTAGGGTCAACCTATTTATGTCTTCCAGCTCTCAATTCAAAGGGGTTGGCTGAGTCTCATTCTTATGAGGCAAATCTTCCTCCCAGTCAGACAAACATTATCTTGTTTAATATAAAAAAATAGAAGGAAAAATTAATCTTTTACTTTTTTAACTTTTAACTCAGTCTTTGAATTGTTGATTTACTTATGACTTAATCCCTTATCTTTTGATTTTTTATATTATTATCCTCGTAGTCTCCAATCCGGATTGAGTCATCCAATGTGGCATAAATGATACAACACCTGGCTTCTAGCTTAGCTTTAAGTAACACAAGAAGTCATGACTGCAAAATACGAACAAAGAATCTAAAATGCTGAGATGTAAATAACATAGCCTTTCACAGTGCAACCCACACTTGTTGTTCTGAGATCAGCATCAACATGCGTCTCTGCAACACCACGGCCTCACCAATTTCACAGTGCAGCCCACACTTGTTCTGAGATCAGCATCAACATGCGTCTCTGCAACACCACGGCCTCACCAATTTTCTTTTGATCTTGGAGGTGCTCGGTCTTCATTTTTCTCCCAGGTTCACTTCCTTCAATTCCCACTCTCTCCCTTCTTTTTTTCTCTCTGAAAATTATTAAATTATCAAGGGTCAATTAGGAGGAAGTTTTGTGGATACAAGTGGTCAGCAATTAGACTCCTCATCCCTCATCCTTTGAACCCCACTATAATTTCCATGACCAACTAGTCTCCTCTTCCCCATTTTGAATTTCAACATTTCTATTTTCTCAATCAAACCTTTCCTTTTCTTCACATACACTCTCTCCCTCTTTTCAAAATCAGTTTAATATCTTAATCTCATTAAAATCATTTTGAATCATCTTGACACACAAACAATAGATCTGTTACAGTATAAAACTCGACTTCATCTCTTGCTTGTTTAAAATGTCTCCTATCCGTGCCTCTACATAAATCTAAAAACCCAACGTAACATATCTTTGGTTGTTATCACAAGTAATAAGTATTATATCTTTCGGCTTTGTCTTTGTTCATCTCTTGTTTTCGCCTTTTCTCGAACATATTTCTGTTCATCCGTCTTCCCCACTCCTCCAGTTGTTACTTTTTGTGTTACGTGGAGCAGAGTTGAAGGCAAGGTGTTTTACCATTTATGTCATATAGGATGACTCAATCTAAGCTGTAAATTACAAGGATAATAATATAAAAAAACAAGTGATAGTTGAGGGATTGAATTATAAGTGAGTTAAAAGTTAAAAAAATCAAAAGATGAATTTTCCCAAAATAGAAAAAAATAACATTTTGTGTTAATACCATTTTAGTCCTTAAAATTTAACCCAAAATAGAAAATACTAGCATTTTGTGTTAATATATTTTTAGTCCTTAAAATTTAACCTCATTTTTATTTTAGTTTCTCAAATTTGATTTTATTTTGATTTACCTAAAGATTTTTTATTCCTAAAAACTAAAACTACTTGTTTTAAATTTTATTGATAAAAGTGAAATCAAATCAAATTTTAATTTCTAATATTAACCTTAATATTTTACGACATGTTGATTGATGGAGACAAGTAAGGAAAAACCATTTTGAAGATATATATACTTTTCGTCAATTTTTAATTTGATATCTATGTATTATTCCTTTTAATTAATTTTTTAATTTTGCTTTGTTAGCGCCATTATTACCTTTCTAGGGCTCACAGTGCTAACACCCCAACGAGTTGGATGGACGGCAGGAGTCATTCCAGCTTAATCACGAGGCTCGATTTTGATGCGTAGGAATGTAGCACCCTAGGGGCTAGGGGCGCCAACCTTAATAATTCCTATCATACCTTGAATTCGGATCATTCTGGACCTGTTGAGTTTTCCATGACATATAGGCTGGCCCATGATATTAGGTGCACTATGTTAAAAAAAAAAGAAGTAAAATTACAAGAACTAATGGTACTATTAGAGCAAAATTAAAGGCTTTAATTAAGAAAAAAATGCAGATATGAAATTAACAATTAAAATAAAGTAGGAAAAATTGGGGATAAGTCCCAATTTGAAAAATTAATTGTAGAATGAGACCTCCACTTTTGAGGTCCTTTTGGAGAGTTAAAAAGGGAAAGGAAATTACTACACTATTATTAATGAAATGTAATTAGGATCATGCATATGCAACTAGCAATCAAGGATATGTAATTAGGATCAACGATGTGTAATTAGATCCTATATGCAATTAGGATTGAACATATGCAATTGGAAACCAAGGATATGTAATTATGATCAGTGATATATAATTTAGATTCTATATGCAACTAGCCATCCTTAATATGCAATTAGGATCAAATATATGCAACTCGAGATCTAATATATGCAATTAGGATCAGTGATATGTAATTAGATACTATATGCAACTAGACATATGCAATATGCAATTAAGTCATAATGCAACTAGATCCTTAATATACAATTAGGATCAAACATATACAACTTCAGATCAGCGATATGCAATTAGGTCTTACATGTAATTAGGAATCACGGATATGCAATTAAGATCATTGATATGCCATTAGGTCCCATATGCAATTAAGCATATGCAATATGCAATAGGGATTAAACATATGCAAATAGGATTTAAAGATATGCAATTAGGTTCAGTGATATGCAATTAGGATATGGCATATGCAACTGGGGATCAAGGATATGCAATTAGAATCAGTGATATGTAATTAGGTTCCATATACAACTAAGCATATGCAATATGTAATTAGGATCAAACATATGGAACTCGGGATCAGGTATATGCAACTCAGGTTATTTGGTTGTTTGACCCCTCAAACTCAATGTCATTTAAGGTTAGGTCTCATTCTGCAATTAATTTTTTAAACGGGAATTTATTCCTAATTTTACCAATAATATATAACTACCTTCAAAATAGTTTTCCCTACCGATGATCTCATAATTTAGTTTAGGCCCGTCATATTAGTGATGCGGTGACGCTTGGGCTATTGAGTCGATCCAATGCCGCCCAAAAAGTGTCCAAATATAAGATGTATTGAACAAGTTTAACCGATGATTATAACTTAAGCAATATTTTCTTTCGTTAAGAAATCTTAAAATTTTCATTATGTCCTATTTTCATTTTCATTCTCTTTTTTAATTTTTTGTTCTGTAAAATCTGGTAAGCTAAGGAAATAAATAAGTTAGGTGAGCTTTCTTTGTTTACGAAAATTGAGAAAAAAAAATCTCTGATTAAAAATTTTATTGATAAGGTGAGCATAATAATTTTTACATGTTATGCGCATAAGGTGTCGGTGTCAATACTCTAATTTAGATTCTCCTTACTAATAAAATTTTTAATAAGAATTTTTTCTAAATTTCATTTTTTTATTTGCTTTTCAATACGTTCAATCGTGTGCTTGTGTTGAAGTAAAATTATCAATTACAGTTTTATCTTTATTTTTTAAATATTAGTAATAATATTAGTTTTCAAAATACTCACCCAGTCATTAGTGTAAGAACTATTTAATAAAATTAAATAAATTAATAAAATTAAACAAATCACTTAATTCTAACAAACATGACTTGATGTCTGTAAAATATATTTGCACAATATTATATTATATATGAATTTATAAGTTAAATTAATTAGTTTGAAAAAAATAATAATACAAGAGAAAAAGTGAATTAAGATATTACGTCGAGTCCTTAATATAAGATTTTGTTTGACTTTTACTTTACTTCTAAATATAAGACCTCAATCTATTTTGTCTTTCATATTTATTCTTTTTTTCCTTTAAGATAGTCCTTCTAATAATAATAGTTTTAGTCAATAAACTTGATTAGCAAGGATATTTTAAAAAAGATAACACCTATTTATTACAAATAAATAATTTAATTTATTTTCTTATTCTATTTAAATTAGTGAACTAGCTTTTATATTTAATATCTGAGGTAGCATTACATTTATGATTAAAATCAACTCTCTAACTAACTATTACTTTTATGATAGGGGAGTATTATTTTCCTTATAAAATTGTTTCGAAAAATATTTAAAGTTTTTATTTATGTTTTAAGAAATTTAAAAATACTAAATAATTACAGAAAAGCTATACTAAAGAGGAAAGGACATATAAGAAAGAATCAACCGAAATATGGGAATGTCAAAATGGTCCTTTAATTGACTTAATTGATATGAAATCTTTAGGAACTACTATGAAATTAATCTTTTCGTGAAATGATGTAATTACCCTTAATGAAATTAGTTGTTACTTGTTCGTGTCTAAGTGTTATTATCATATGATGTGTTAAAGTTAATTTAGATAATTTTATTATAAAATTTAATTTCAGACTATTCCCTAAATATTAATAGTGATTAGACCATTTGAGACTCCGGATTTGAGATATGGATTTGGGAGTACTTTTGTTTCTTTCTCCATTTAATAGAACAGTTAGCTTTTTGGGGGAAAACCAGAAACGACAAAGAAAATGATGAACATGAGAATGAGAATAAATAAATAAATAAATAATGATAATAACCGTTTCCTTCAAACCTCGTGAGAGGAATCTAGGAGGCATGGGCATGAGCGATGTTAGCTGCCATGTCTCACTCCAGCAGGGTCCCTGCTGCAACAGCAGGGAAACTTTGCTCCGAAGTTCATCTTCTTCTTCTCCTTCCTCATGATCGGTACATTTACATTTCACCTCCTTTGTTTCATATCTTTTCTGATTCCTCATCATTCATTCTCAGTTTACACATCTTCATTTCCTCACCTCTTTTGTTGCCTTGCTTTCGTTGATTTGTCCGTCTTCCCTAATATCGTTCCTTCCTGTCTGCTTCTCAGCAATGGAAGCTTGCGGTTCCTGCTGATTCTTCTGCTGCTGCTGCGGGGTTTCATGTACTCTTATTTGATCTGCTTTCTTTGGCCTCAATAATTCTCAATCCAGCCTGATTTTACTGGGGTTCGACTTTGTTTTAATTGATTTTTGTCGGGTTTCGCACAGTTTTTTAATAAGGAAATATGGATTCGACCCTTGACTGACACAGTGTAGAATTAAATGCATCCCTTGTTCTAGCATCTCAGGTCATTGGACCTACTCTTGTTTGGCGGGATCATAGTAAACAAAGTGAAATATCAATTTTGGACTTTCTTTTTAGAAAAATCTCTCCTTGTTACTTTTCTGTCCATAACGGTTTATTAAGCTGCAAAAAACTTAAGTTTGCGGTCTTACTCTTCCTCTGATATCGATGAAATGAATCACGTATAATTATATTGGTAATTTGATGGATAGTTTTTCCTTTGTTGTCTCTTTCATGTTAAATAAGCTTTAATACTTCAGCAGTGTCCGGCCTGAGCGATTGCAGGGGAAGTGAATTCTCTTTTATTAATAGAGATGCAAATAAAAATAATAATTCGCAACAGTAACACTACAGTAGATATTGGATCTATTTGTCTTGTAGATATTATTAAATCGACGTGTAACTGAGGTTCAATTGTATAATTGTCTTGCAGGTTTATGACACTTGGGCTCTCAGGTTCCTGAATCATTGATCTTCTTCAGAATGGGAAAAGATCCTGGGAAATGGATAAAGACCTTGTTTTCAGGGAAGAAATCATCAAAGTCTAATCGATCAAGCCAAAAAAATATCTTGGTATTTTTTTTTTACCCAGTTGTTATCTTTGACACCCTTTCATGCATATGATTTATCATTGCTAATCTGCAATTTTACATTGCATATGAAAGCTACACTCTTTCACCAGGTCTGATACATTCTAAGGTAGATAGATCTAGGGAGTAATCAAACTGAGGTTACCAAGAAAGTGAATTTTTAAAGGATTCATGCCTTTCCATCACACCTCTCATAGAAATTTACAGGAAAGAGAGTTGCTTGGGAGGAAGAAAATTAACCTATCCATCACACCTATCATAGAAATGGTTTGGCTGCATCACACTGCTGAGGCTACAGTCATTGAGGAATATATCAAAGCTGATAGTTCATCACTAATTCTTTGGTAGCAGAATATACTAAAAATGATGATTCATAACTTTTCATGCTTTTTAAACGAAGAGGTGACAATTAGAAACTCGTGTGTGAGAATTGCATGTTCTCCTGTTTATGCAGACGGACCTGCTTTCATTATTATGTAATTCCTTTATGAGTAGAATTAGAAAGGGACGCATACTGGGGGAAATCAGGGTGTAGATGTTTAGTCTCTACTAAGAAGTTTCTAATCTTGATTTCAATACTCATGTGAAGAAACCTTCAAGTAACCAGGATGTGTTGGCCTCTATTGATACATCTGTGCCTTATATCCCTGATTCTTCGCTGATATCCGCACCCACATCTGGAGCTGATGCTAGTAAAGAAGTGCTCTTGGAAAATGTACTGGTTAGTAGATCATCAAATGAGCGGAATATTCTTTCAGCTGGGATTGAAGAGAACAATGCAGAAGCTATTAATTCTGGTTCACTGGATGATGTCCAGAAAAACAGGCTTGTTGAAGCTGCTACAAAAATCCAGGCTGGTTTTAGGGGCTATCAGGTTATAACTTCTTATATTTCTACAATTTCCTTTCATTTCTTAAACATAATAAAACTTCTATATATTCCATGTTGTGATTTGTTCAACACGATTATAGGAATATTGTTTTATTTGTTGTAAAGGTATGCTTTCTTGCTAAAGAAATCTTGACAAATGCGAGTACAACATGGTCTTTTCCATTTGAAATTTTTAAAGCATTGAGTTTTGAAGAAAAATAATTAAAAATTATTTCGTTGATGGTCTTGTGGGTGGCTAGAATGATCAATGAATAATTAAAGTGGTTTCTTTATAACTTATTTGAAGGCTCGTGAGGAATTTCAGACACTAAAAGGTGTCATACAACTGCAAGCTCTTATTCGAGGCCAGTTGGTTAGGAGGCAAGCTGTTTCCACTTTATACTGTGTGAAGGGAATTGTAAAAGTTCAAGCGCTAGTTCGCGGTCACAAGGTTCGACATTCTGATATTGGGGTCGCTGTCCTCAAAATTTTCAAGGTAAAATTCTTCAACTAAATTAATCCATGCAATGATCTGTGGGTTGTGATCCCTAACTTTCCGAGTTGACTTGCTCAACATTTCTCAAGTATTAATATGGCAAAGTGTTCTGTATCATACAGTTGGAGAATTTTGTTGGTTTAATGCGTATATTTCACGGTATAGATGAAAGCTAAATGCCAGGAATTACTTTTTCCTTTCCTCTTTGTGATACTGAATATTCAAATTCTCTGGTTAGGATGCTAAATGTTCAAATTCTAACGGAGTAGTCACGACTACACAGGCAGAGAAGCTGCCAACCGGTCTTTTTCTTAACCAGGTAGGAACACTTTTTACAATGCCTTGCATAAGAAGAGTAAATGTACAGTTTTAGGTAATTCAAGGAGCTATGGCTTATTCAAGCTAGGTAGTAAAATGTGATTATCCAGCAAATATCATTGTGGTCCATTGGGGGTTTCTTTAGTTGCTGTTAAGTGCTGCTCAGTTGAGCCTCGCGCTTGACAAATTGATGAAGTCTCTCTTTTGGCATGCATTGATATTTGTTTCTCTTGGCTTAAGTATTGATTATATGATGGGACATTTTACAGGTAAATTACCAACTTCAAACACTTTAAGTGGCTTGCTTCTTTTCTTTTTCCTGTTTTTTCTTATATACGTGATCTAGCAAAGGCAAGGGATAGATGAAAAATAATGCATGGCCTCTTTTTGATCCCGACAACCCATTTTTGTTTCCAATTTTACTTTGTAGGCGAAGATTATTTCATAAGATGATTTATCACTTGCAGCTTCTGGCCACGTCATCCTCAACAGTTCCTTTACATCTTAATTTTGGTCCTGAAGCACCAAACTTCACCTGGAAGTGGCTTGAGCGCTGGACTAAGTCAAACTTTTGGGCGCCTCCTCCCAAATCAGAGAAGAACCATGGCAAGTCCAACGAGAAAAGTGCCAATTGTCAAACGTTTGAACATAACAAGGGGAAACCCAAGAGAAGTTTCAAGAAGGCTTCTGATTTGAAAGTCGATGATGGCTCAACCTCAGGGCCAAACAATCTTAAACAGCCTGCGAAAAAGGTTTCAAGCCACCTTATGCAGTCATCACGGGAGCAACCACAAACGGAAACAAAAAACCGTATTAAGAAAACTTCGACGCAGAGTGTTTGTAGTACATCTGAGGTTGCCCCTGAGAAAAGGAAACGCATCCATGGAAAACTTCCAGGTCATTCTGTTACTGATGTTTCAGAGCATCGTGCTTGCGTTTCAGCAGATAAAATGAAAAGTTTGGGAGTGTCAAAGTCACAGCAGTCTGATTTTGAAAAGAGCCTTGGGTTGCAAGAAAAAGATGAGAATGTCCACTCACACGCAAATCCTACTGCTGATTCGCAGACTAGCGTAAAGAATGGTAAAGAAGTTATTCAAGGAGATAGCGAGGACTCTAAAATTAATGGGGACCCTCAGAACTCGCTGAGAAGAGCTTCACTGCCTGCCAGTTTCAATGATCAAGATAATAACAGTTCCCATAACACTCCAAGAGTTCCTAGCTATATGGCCCCCACTGAATCTGCAAAAGCTAAGCTAAGAGCACAAGGCTCTCCTGGGTTTGCTGGTGACTTGGTAGATAAAATTGGTGTAACCAGGCGTCATTCACTTTCAACTTCATTAAATGGAAGGTTTACCTCATTTTCCCCACGAACAGAACGACTGTTAAACACAAGCAGCAGAGGAGTGATCAGGACTGACAGATCTCTGTCATTATTAAGGGATGGACCTGGTAAGATACCAAGGATATTGTATTGCCCTTTAAACCTTTCCATTTTCAGATTAGTTGTACCCCGGGGCCATGGGCTTAGTTTGACTTGTCTTTTACATAGTTATGATGGTGCTAGGTGTTACCTTTGGAAGATACATGGTCTTTATACATACATATACACACACATATGCTACTTTTGATATTTAATATTAGAGCTAATAGGAGGTTGGATTAGGTCCTAAATATAAGATCTCAATCCCAAATTTTTCTAAAATACCTCTATTGATTATATGTGTTAGGGAGGTTTAGACCAAATGGTAAATGATTAAAAAAAGTAGTTTAGAAAAGTCAACACATCTTTATTACTAATAGCCGACTTAACTAGTTTTTTTAATATTCACAAATTAGTTATCTAACTCTTATATAAAAAACTAGAGGTAGTATTAAATGGGTCTTGTTGGGGAATTCCGTACTCCTTGTTGCATTGGTGCTGAACTCTATCACTGGTCCAGTAGTTGATCAAGACTGCTAAGGCTAGTCAGCCTGTTTGAAGAAATTTCTTTTTATTGATTTAGAAGGTTGTGCTTTGCGAGTTTTATAATAAACAATGAAATTTTCATCTTAATTTCTCACTCAACGGTACTTGATTATCAATGGAGCACCAGGAAAAAATTATTCAGTGCAATTTATTAATCTCCGAATGGTAGACTTCAGAGATCTCTGCTGTTTCCACTTTTCCCTAATGACGTTCTATGATATTTTTTTCATTTGCAGAGAAGTTCATCCAACCCCAGTGGAGAAGGTGATCTTACATATTTTGTTCAGTACAAGGATACTTCAAAAGAGGTAAAGTAATATTAACTTTACACGAAAAAAATGTAAGAAGTTCTGATTAACGTAATAGTTTTACTCACTCATCTTTTTTCCTTTTGGTCATACGAACAGGAGGGCTTAATTTTCCATATTATGAGTCTCAGATATCGAAGTGTTTTGGTGGTATGTATGTCTGATTGTCTATGATTCGTAGCACATGGACTGACCTTCACTGCTTTGCCTGCATGGGTCTGTGGCGTATTTGTATCATCCATAAATGTTAAGTAGTTTTAAAATTAGCAGCAATATAGATTTAGTCCTCTAGCTATAAATAAGATTTTGGTTTGGTTTCTTAATTTTATAAAGTATATTTCTAGTCCTCTAACCCTAATGGTTTTAGTCTTTAGTCATTATTATCTTGAAAAATTAAATTTGATATGTCATTATTTGATAATATTTTGTCAAAACTTAAAATTTTGGTATCGATATTTTTTTGTTATTAAAACCAATGGGATGGTGATTAGAGTATTGAAAAAAAAACATTTTATAAAATTAGAGGATCAAAATGAAACTTGACGTGGAGTTAAACAATAAAAATATACTTTTGCTGTTAAAATCTGAAAATTAAGGCAATCATTTGATCGCGATTTGCTGTGTCCAGATATTTGGTAGTGATTAAGGCAAGTTATTTCCTCCAATAATAGTTTTTTTGGGAGAATTGCAATTAAGTCATGAGGAAAGAACATAATTGTTATAAAATCTCAATAACCATTAAGCAGCTTGTAATGACAAGTTCCAAAGTAAAAATGACAAGTTTCACTTGTCATTGAGATTTTTTCGTAATTATTTTTTTCATGGGACTCTTGCAATTCTCCCCATTTTTTTAGCCTAGAAAGAATGAAATTTAGGTATAGGGCTCTACAATGCCATATCCCTAGTTTTTCTCCCCCGTAACTCACATGCACATTATACCCTTCGTAAAGAGTTTGAATTCAATCTCTTGCTCAAGAAAGCCTTAAAAAGAGTGCTTAATATGTCATTTGAGTTACAAGTCCCTTATAACATCATATCCTCAGTAGAGCTGCTAATAAGATTCAACCTGTCAGCTCACAAAAAATAGTATAGTAGGGTTGCCTTAAAATGAAAATTTTCAACCTATATCGTCAAACCCACAACCCGCTATGGGTTAGCTAGCTAACTTGTAATCTAACCCACATTTATTTATTTTTTAATTTAAATTTTATTAATTATTGTATATCCTATCTAAAAAATTTGAAAAATACATAAAAATTTATTTTGTGTTTTCAATCAAGTATTTGAAGAAAAAAATATTTTATTATATTTTTTATATTGTATAAGAAAAATATTTTAAAAATATTTTTTTAAAAATAATAACTAGCGGATTTGGATTGGCTAAGAGTCAGCCTGTCATCACATGGACCTTTCTAACCCCCACTACTTAACCTTAACCTGTTACAAGTCAACTTGCAAGTACAGTTGGCCCATATTACCACTTCTAATCTATAGGCAATACAAGAGTAAGTTTACTCTTTCAAAGGGTTTGATCACCCAGGGCCCCGTTATTAAAGTAATATGGTTAATGAATTATAAATAATTCGATTTAATGTATAGTTCGATGATCACACCTTTGTAGTTAATAACGAAGGCAAAAGTGTAAAAATACCTATTAACGTTTACTTTTGCCGAATACTATATGCTTTGCAGAGGTACAAAAAACCCATGATTGTGCAAATAAATTAATTTCATTTTTAGAAAAAAAAGACCCTATCAAATTTGATTATACTATTTAATACAAATAATTTTATGGATAATATACATGTTTGGTCCTTTAAATTTACATCAAGTTTAATTGACATTTGTCACATTTTATTTCCAATTCTCTTGTTTGCCCATACTTAATGGTCAACCTCAATAACTCATCATTTCCTCTATTTATCGGTTTTGTCAACCTCCTAATCTCTTATTCATTAGGGATCTATGGCAAACTTAAATATTAACAAGTCAAGCCCATTAGCTTCTTCTACCTTTAATCACTGCCAACCACCACGCCCCTTGATCTTAGATGTCCTTAATTTTATTTTATATCATGAAAGAATGGGTGAGATTTAGGGGAAATTTCATCACCATGTAAAATTACTAAAAATTAGGTATGCAAAACAAGTCATAGAGAATAACACCCCGCAAACAATTAAGCTAGGCCGCTAATGGGTGAGCATAAACATATAATGCCTGATAGCACATCGAACAGATATGTTTGTGTGCGTATATAGGCGCATAGCTGCCAACACTTGCACGTACAAGATTCCATTTCATTTAACGCATGCTTCTGTTTGAGCATACTGAGAAAAGATGAAAGGTATATATTCGGGGACGCAGATTAGCATGTGGCCTTCTCAAATCTGCTTGTACGCTCTCAAAATCAAACCCGTAAGGCCGAAGTCACGTCTAGGTTCATCTCTCTGCTTGCAGCCTTTACCATTCACAATATATATCCCACAAAAGCAAAAGCCCCATATCAGCATGATCATACTTAAAGTTAGTGCCAAGAAAGAGCATAAACGCATTTCATTTGCCCATTTTTTTAACTGAGCAGAACCGTTGACAAGGGGAATGGAAGTCCCTAATAATTTCATTAATGATCCATGCAAACACACCCTTATCAGACGAATATTTCAAAAATTTGAAAAGAAACAAAACAAAACTTTAAAATTGGCTTTTATGCTACCCCTCTAATCCATAAGATAAGATGTTAGTTAAACTTTTTCACAAAACAAGAAATGCTAGTTAAATCATTAAATATGTTTTAATTTTTTGACTTGCATGATTTAATTATTTGATGTTTTTATTTTGAGCTGGAGTGAGCTGTATTTAATAAAATTCATACCATTTTAAGTCATTTTACAACTAAACCTGTTTTTTCAATATTAATTCAAACAAATTTATTTTTACAAATTGACTTATTTACAAAAACTAAAACATAAATCACATTATATAATAACTTTTAGAGATAAGGTATTTAATACCCTAAAGTATCATGAAAGAGCACTTAGCACTTGAAAGTTTTTTTGGTTCTTACATACCCTGAAAGTTTTATTTCGTAGCATTTCAGTTTTGAACAATTATCTGTCATTAAGTTTGACCGTTAAAGATTTAATGGTTAAATTTAATTACAGATAACGACCAGGATATTTTTCCTATGAAAATAAACTTCTAGGACATATAAGAACCGAAAAAACTTCTAGGTGCTAGGTATTTCTTCATGGATCTTTTTCGTTTAATTAAGCATCTTATCCCTAACTTTTACCCAATCGTAAATTTTCAACAGTCAAATTGAAAACGAGTCACTTTCTTTACTGTCAATTTAGAGGAGCCCTTAACCACGTACAGCAATAACACCTTGCATAAGAGAGCACAATTCCCATTCCAGATTCTGCAAAAGTAACTCTTTTTCTTTGATATTTGCCCACGTCAAATTAGTACCAGAAAACGAAAACCGGCTATGGATACAGATATCAAATTGGAATATTGTTCTGATACAGATTCTTTCTTTGTCATCACACATTCTACATGAACTAAAGTTCCGTCCAGGTTCATCAGCCGAGAGAATACGATTATATCTCTGATGATAAATCTGCTGTTATAAATATGAGAGGTTGGCTTGTATATTTTCAACATGAACGAAAAGAAAACACCTGAAGCTACAAGTTGAGAAGTCTATACATTGCAGGTGTTCTCCTAGAGTTCCCTTGAACACTTCATCGAGGGCTAGTAGCTTTATATTTTTATATAAAGAAAATGGATGCATGTATATATGTGTGTGTGTGTACGCCCTTGTTGAAGTGTTTGGGGGAACTCCTGGTGTCACTTGAAGCTTTAAAATTTCCATATCTGATAAGATTGCATCATTAGCCATCTCTGATGACCTTCTGGTTTATATCGTAGCAGTTTTACATGATTATATGATAATTAGGGTAATTTATATTGTTTCTTTCTATTATTAGATATGTACTACCTCTGTTCTTTAATATCAAACCTCGTTTGACTTTTATTTTAATTCTAAATACAAGACCTTAATTCACTTTGTCTATCATATCATACATTTTTTTCCAAGGTAGTTCTTCTAATAGTGATAGTTCTATCCAATATATTTGATTAGTAAAAATATTTTAGAAAATACAATACCTATTTATTACAGGTAACTAATTTAATTTGTTTTTTTAATCTACTCAAATTAATTAACTAACTTTTATATTAAGGACTAGATGTAGTATTGTGTAACACTTAACCCTCCTATATACTAATAAGGTTAATATAAAGACTGTAGACCACTACAACCAGGTTTCCATCTTGGGAAAAACTGAAACCAACTTTGTTAAAAATAACTTTTCAAAACCAATTTCAGTACAAGATATGAACCTGTAAACAATATTGGAATTCACTATTTAGAAATTCATAGCTTTCAAAAATCCTAACTAGTGATTCACTTTCAACCATGTCTTCAACTTAGTAATAATAAGAGAGCTGGGATGATTTTACACTAATAGGTCCCAACCCACGGATAATAAACTTATATATAGGCTTAGTGCCATTAATATGTTTAAATGTAACAGCCATCCCAATCGATGGCGCTTACTTGCGTCTTGCAGAGTGCATGCCTCATTATGGAGAATACAAAAGTATTTATATATATATATATATATTTATTAACAGGTATTTGATACTTGCCAAAATAATTATAATATAAATATAATTAGATAATCAGCATATTTATACAAAAAGAAGCAGACATTCTTGCTCTTCCCATAGTCCACCTTCCACCTTCTTCTCTTGCTACTTCCTTGCCTTTGCTACTATTGGACTTGGATGTATCACATGTAAGAGATGGTGAAATTTTGAAGAATCCCCATAGTAGTAATTTTCATCAAACAAAACATGCATATCACATAAAGCACACAAAAAAAGTTAAAGTATGATAAATCCCTATTTTAATATATTATTTGATATCTTTTTGGGAATATTTATCAATTAAAATGGGATAATTTGTATTGATTGTGGATATTTGGAATTAAATATTGATTGCATGAAATTGGAGATTTAAAAGGAAATCTTATCATATTTTTCATCTCCTTTTAAATAATTAATTTTGGGTTTTATGATAGTATCTTAATTTATCTTTTGCAAGCCTCAAAAAAAGGAAATAAAGATAAAAGGAAAGCTGAAAAAAGAAGAATAAGGGAAATTAGAGAGGCAACCAACTTGGACATCAAGACATCATATTATTATATTACTTGTATGTTTATTATTGATTGAGGGCTGCAGAGAGAACACGCATATATACACAATACCAATTTTGAGAATTTTCATTCACGCACAATCACAAGCAGCCGCACACATAGCATTCTTCAATTTCTCACCTCCAGTTTTCATCTCTTTTCCTTCGGCGAGT